CACTGTCATCTTTAATTGCTGATATATTGATTCAGTGTTCTTGTTGCTAAAGGCAATTTGCTAATGGTTTACTGGGCTGTTCACCATTCTTCCAGTATGTATGTTTGAACTGCAAACCCTTCCTGCTGTGGAATTTTTTTTTTATCCAACCCATGTTTAACTTGTTGCAGCTCTTGATTAAATTATGCAAGTCAGGTAGCAAATTGACTTTGAGTTTTCAACCTCTCACCTAGAACAATTTGTCACTCCTTTTAAAATTTACTTTTAAGAGAAGCAATAATTGGTCCCAGATGAAAGCTTTTCTAGCTTCCCATTCAGTAAACCACACTGAATTCAAAATATTCTTGTAGCTCAGTGAGAATCTGATTTTTAAAAGACTCAGCATTCAAAAAGGAAACACTAAGGCACCAAAGACCAGCAGGCTTTCGGCTATTTGTAAATAGCAGGTCCAAACAAAGTAATGGTCTGATATTAGCAACGTTTTCATCTTACTGTCTTTGATTTGACATAACAAGGATGTGAAAATGAAAGAGCAATCCAACCAGAAACAATTGTAGTGGACACAAGATAGAAATGTCTCATTTCTCTTATCTGGATACAACATTCTCCATGGTGAAGCAGTCCAAATTCTGCCATGTAGGTCTGAATTGTGAATGTCAGTATTGCTTGCCTTTTAGGACCTGGCTTATTCCTGTCCAGGAAGAGAGCTAGAAACTCATTAAAAGCAGACACACTTACACATGATCAAATGTTGTGTCATTACTAGGACCATAGGCATTTATCAAAGCTATTACTTTTCCACTGTGTTTCCATCCTGAATCAGAAGCCAATCACCAGGATAATAATGGCTTGTTGAGCTGAAAATAAATGCTGTTTATGGGTTAAGGTATTAATGCATACTTAAACCTGACCAAAATATCTGTTGCATGGATGTCTCCCTCCTACCCTTTTGTCAGCTGAAGTTTGTAAAAAGTTCAGTGTTAAAAATTAGTTCTACTGATGTCTCATTGGAAATTAAGAGGAATTAATGTAATCTGGATCCACCTCAGAGTGTATTAGAAATATATTGTGATTCTGTAGGATTTGATGCTTTATCTAATCATTAGTATTCCTAGGCTAATGGCAGAGTAGTTTCTTGAGGTTTGTGGCAAGTCTAGGCCATAAGTAAGCAACTTGGTGCCCTGCATAGGTTTTGGGTTCCTATTAGCCCTTGCTAGCAAGGCCAACATTTGTCCAGGGTATGCAGCCTTCTAGGCCAAACTCTAAATCTGCTTTTACTATGTCCTACCCTTAATCCAGACTGTTACCAAAACAGCACAACTTCATGTGCTAATCCATGTCTAAGGACAAAATCAGACATAGTGTTAGGCATTCTTAACATGGTGGCAGTGGAAAAATGGGCCTCATGATTCAAGATGACTTTTTCCATACAAAAATGGCTTTTTTCATGCTCCCGGATGCTGTCTAGCCTGCTAATGAAAAGATCTGTAGGGTTCCACAATAAGAAGTTGCTGGATTATATTTTATGCATGCTCACAGAATACCTGTATGGTGAGAACCTGACAAATGGTCCTCTGAAAGCAAATCCATTCTGTTATCTCTATTTTTCTTTGACTATACATAATGCTTCTACGCCTGAAAAGCTCAGCAGTGGCGCAAGAGGAAGCCAAACAGTGGGGCGCCAGTTAGGCTCTATGATTTCTGTGAGAGAATGTGTAACCTTGGTGTGTAAAGAAAACAAGAAGAATGAATGGGCCATTGGCTGTGGCGAGTCAATGGAACCGTCTTGTCGTCTTCGCTCTTGTGTCTGTATAAATGAAGCATTGTTGTCCATCCTTGGCACTTGTGCTTCATTGTGATAAATTGGTCTTGATCTGTCTGACATTTTTAACCAAGTCTTTGTTAGGGTCTGGTTTGGAAAAGTCCGCTTTCCCTATACTTTGCATCAACACAAACCTTGACAGGTTTGACAGCAGTCACTGTCACATTCCAGGTTGATCTTTTTCTTCCTCAGCTAGGGAAAACTGGTATAAGCGAGAGAAAGCATTTTGGACACAAGAGAAAACATTTGGACACATATCTACAAAAGCTCCAAAGTTCATGGCAGCAAATAAAGTGAGCGGATCTACACCTGTAACTGTGCACTTTTCAAGGGCCTACTGTTAGTATTACAGCAAAGTTTGGTTTGAAATTAACCAATGCAAAATAATGTTGGCTACTTTTTGCACTAATTGCACTAATTTGTCATTTGTTTGCTTAAGGTCCTGACCTTAACTTTACCTTTCACAATGTACCAGCTAGGATTTAAAACTTAGACTGGGTTAGTGAAGGCTTACCTGTCACTTGGATTTAGTTGTAGCTGTTGTCCATTGATGACTAGACATTTCTGTTTGTTGAGTTAAATGCTCAGTTTCATTTAATTGAGATGATTAACCTATTATCCTTTTCTCTTCATAAACAGATGATGCCCTTCCTGTTACTGTCTTGTCCATCTTTCTTCTATCATGCTTTTTTCCCAAAGGGTAGGACTCAAAATACTGCTGAGATTCCTGTATAACCTTCCTGCCACTTAGCTCCATTTCACTATATTTTTTATATTTCATTGCTGAGCAACTTTATTATGTTTTGTTATTTTTCCAAAATGACAGTCTTTTAGGTTCTTCTGTTTTGAGTAAGTTGCAGGTGAATGTGTAAGTATATAGAAATATATTGCTTATGTATCAAGTTAGAAAAAGCTTCCACAGCTGGAAAGTTTCCAGAGAACTCCATAGTAATGTGGCAGCAGAGTTAGAATACCACCACTATAGTATCTAAGCAATGCTTTCCTTTTATATGCTAGCTAGGGAGTAGGTCTTTTAGCATGCTGAGCATTGTGCTGTACATTGTATTTGAAACTTTAGACAAAAGCGGTTTGTGGGGAGCTTTTAGAACTTCAGATTGTGGTATGGTAGGACTGCTATTCAGGGAACAGCAGATAAAGAAAATCAAAAGCCCCACTTGAATGAGAAAGTTCTTGCATTTACTTAATAGGGTTGACTAGTTTACAGCCAGAATGAAATGTACACCGTGTTTGAGAAAGCATGATGCAGAGTTTCAGACACGTGCTTTATGAAATCTCATATAGATGTCTTTTCAGCCAAAGCATCAGTCTTCTTCATGGGACTTTTGTAGGGGGTGAACAGGGACTTACATCTATAAAGTTGTTGTATTCCAAAGCAACGTATAGAAAAGGAAGTTAGCTATTTCTATAGTGTTGCTGCATGGTCTGGACTATTTGAGACCTTTTAGACATGTGTGGAACATGATTCATGGTAAGGGCTGGGAGTGCTTGGACTTTTGTTTCCTCCCAGGCCTCTCTGTGAAGTTTGTCTGAAAGGGAACTAGTTATTTCTTCAGCATTTTGCTAGGTCCTATTTATCCTAGTCACATCCTATTCACTTTTTCCTTTACCCACCTCAGCAAGATGTTTTATTAGTCCTCCTGGTGGCATTTGGGAGTGTGATCACTTGATGGATCACACAGAAAAGAACTTTTCAGTGAAGCTGCTGCTGCTTTGATAGCCTTCAGGCTGAAATTTAGCAGGAGGCTCAGCATCGGGGAGTTTTTGCCTCTTAATATCAGGCCAGTGGGGTGCTTGGGTGGTGGGGAGGAACACAACTTTAGAGTCAGGACTGGCCTTACCATTAGGCAGAGTGAGGCAGGCCTCCCAGCAGATAGATGCTGATGGGCAGGGAACAGAAGCTAAGTACTGGAGTACTGTGTGCACCATGCAGTCTGCCCTGTTACCACTAAGCTAGGCATGACAGCAGTGGTACCGGGGATACTGTCCCATCTTCAGCTGCCAGTCTGTTCCGTTTCTGTATATGGAACAGGGAGAGATGGTATTTTTTCCTTTGCCGCAGGCAGCAACATGCCTTGGGCAAGAACTGGTCATAGAATATTGGTTCACCAAAATTTAGTGATCCAAATAAACTTACACTGATGTTACCCAATTTATAAATGGTCATGTGAGACTGCTCTTAGGCTGTCCAGTAGGACAAAGGAAAAGAGCTTGTCCAAAGGCATCACTTCTGTAGTGGTTCTGGCAAGAGCAACATGGTTTGGTGAAGAATTCTGACTTTTATTCTTAAGCCAAATGAAATAAAATAAATAAATAGGCAGCTAGGGTTCACTCTCAATTATACAGTGTTTCAAAGATACTGGCTACTTTTCATTTTAAGAAATATCTCCCTCCCGTCCCCCAAAATTGAATTATCTTTTGTACTGAGTTTGTTCATTTCTGTCATTCTAACATCAAGAATTAGAATGTTGCCTAAACTTGTAGAGCAGCGAAGAGACCTGTATATCGCTCTGAAAATATGGATTCTGGATTTTTTCTTATAGTCTTTGCTATATAGTTAAGGATACTTTAGTGGTATAAAACTGTTGCAAAATAATTAGATTCAAAATCGTAACAGTTGTATTTGTAATCAACTAGCAATATTTTCTCTTTTGTTTTTGTTTAATCAATTCAGAATTATATTTCTTACTTCTTTCTCCACTTCTATGTGGGCCAGTAGGTTTAGCTGTGATATTTTCTAATTTTATATCCTCTTATATTCCTGCATAACATACTGAAACTTTGAGATTATTCAGTCCGCTGGGCTTGGAAGACATCACTCCTTTGTAGCTCCTTTACTGTGCTTCAGGTAGCAAAAATATAGAGCAAGCCAGTAAACACCAAAAAAGAAAAAGAAAAAAAAAAGGTGCCAGCTGAATTATTTGCATAATTTCTGGGTGAAGTGTATCCATGCTGAAAAGCAAAGCAACAGTAAAGTATATTGTAAAAAATACTGTGTAAAAAAATCCATTTGCTGTCAAAGCAAATCCTTGTGCTAATATGTATTAACACACATTTTTTCTATATAAAGATAATGCTGAATATAACTGATAAAATTGGGATACAGTCTTCTTGTTCATTTTTAGTATTTATATTTGTGCATTTTTCTGCTTTTTCCTAGCTAAACAAGTATGTCTAGCTGAAAAAATTAGCTGTGGAGACTCCAGTAATAAATGCATTCCTTCTTCATGGAGATGTGATGGAGAAAAAGACTGTGAAAGTGGAGTTGATGAGGCAGGTTGCACTAATGGTGAGTCTTAATAACACACCTTTCATACCCATGCTTCAGTACCCCCAAACATCAAATTATCTGATTTCAATTTGTCTCTCCATTTCCGCCTGCCTACTCCAAACTTTCTGAATAAATGCAGAAAGAAGGGATGGAAGCCTCATTTCTATGCTGGACATGGAGAATGAGGGAAATACCATATTTTTTGCTCTATAAGACGCACTTTTCCCCCCCTCAAAAGTAAGGGGAAATATCTGTGCGTCTTATAGAGTGAATGTGTGTGTGCCCGACACCCGGGGCGCTGCCGGCCCGCCTGCACCACGTGGCACCACCTGGCCGGCATGCGCTCGGCGTGCGCTGCTCAAGCCCCCCCCCCCACTCCAGCGCAGCTGAGAGCTGTTATTCACAGGTTGGTGTGTGTTTTCAAATGGCAACCCGTCTTTTAATGAAGCCCATGGGGAAGTGATGGGGAATGTGCCTGTGATTATCAGGAAGCTTTCCGTGGATCCCTCCTCTAAAAACTAGGTGCGTCTTATGGTCAGGTGCGTCTTATAGAGCAAAATATATGGTAATAATAATCTTTCTCTGCTTGCTGCTCATTAAACTGCATGCAATTCCTGGTCATCTTTGGCTGTCAGTTTTAGTATTTAAATACAAGGCTGGACTAAATGTGATGGAGCAGTAACAAAAGGCTGAAAAGATAGCCTCTGTTACCTACACAGTCTTGTTTCTCTTTGTATGTTGGCCTGGTAGCATTTCTCTTTTCTTCAAAAGAGATAATTGTCAAATTAAGGCCACAAGCCTATGCCATTTTTAGACAAAAAAAAGCCCTAGAAGTCCCAGCATTCCCCAGCTAGCATGCATGTGGTAGGACTATATACTGCCTAAACATGCATAAGATATGCCTTAAGCCAGCCTTCCCCAACCTTTTCCAACCCTTCAGAAGCATTTGGACCACAACTCCCAGAATTCCCATCCTGGGGCCATTTACTGGGAATTGTGGATGTTGCAATCCAAAGGTATCTCAAAGGCACAAGGTTAGGGAAGACTGCCTTAAGCCATTCTTCTCTGTATGAAGATGACTATGCATCCACTGCTTGCAAACCTTCTGAGTTTTCAAGTTTTGTTTAAATCTCCTCTCTTCTCCAAATCAGGTAAGCTCACAGGGACCTATCTATCTCATAAGCAAACGGTTTAAAATATCTCCCATCTTTCCTCTCATCTTTATTCTATGTCTGCTGAGAGCATGGATAGGAAAAAGTACCCTTTCCTCCTCTATTCCATCTTTTTGAATTTACTTTTTGGGCAGGTGTCAGTAGGGACCTGGGATCGGGGGTTGCTTACTTGCAAGTTCATTTTCAGCCATCAAACTTGTTCCCTGAAATGTGACTCCTGCAACATTAGAGGCCATGCCTTTCACTGAATGTATCTGAATTTCAATGCCTTGCTTTATTTGGAGCTTCAGTACATTTGTATCTGACACTTGTGAAAGAATTATGTCACTCAAAACTTTCATTAAAAAGGGTTGGACCACGAAGTAGAGCTTTGGTAATGTCAGAATCAACGAATCCTTTTGGATAATGGCTGGCAAGCAGAGGGCCCTCCCAGATGGTAAGGTTTATCGTTGAGAGCTTGCATAGCTATCCCCAGACCTCACCCCAGGAAATGCTCTGGTGCAGAGTGGGGGAGTTATGTGTGTCACATTCAAACTGCTAAATCAAATGGCTGATCAAACAGTTAAGCAAATGCAGCTATCACGGGTGCTTTTCTGGCAAGGGGATGTTGTTTTGCTATGTCATGAGTACTCCATTGCTTGATGCCTGGGACTCAACATATCTGTGCCATTCTAAATGCCCTGCTAATTTTTGAAGTCATTTCCCTTTGTGTGTGTGTGTGTGTGTGTATTTCTCTTATTTGGAGAGGCATATTTGCCCATCTCTCCAGTGTGTGCCATGTCATCAAAATCAAAAACCAAATCAGAACAGTGAGGGTAACCCCCCCTATCCTGTGTGGACAGACAACTTGTTAAACTTGGCTAAGATCAGAAAAGTCCATGGGATATTTACCCACAGGAAAAATACCTTCATCTAGAGAGATTAATGTCCACATGGAACCTTTCACCCTTCTGATGAAAATACCCACTTGGGTTCCCTAGATGACTTTCTAAATTAGGAAAGCTGTTGTTGATATGTACATCTGTACAGACTTCTGCCATGTTTCTTTTTTGTGTATGGTTCCACCAAGGGCTGCTTAAGTATATTATGATTACATGCTCTGTAGGTTGGGGCAAGGAGAGGAACAACATCTGTACCAGCAAGCTGTTGTGACATTACTGCTGTGAAATAAGTAGGAAAGGAGACAGAGTAGCCTCACTGCAAATAGTACACAACCTCTTTGTGGAGGATTGCCAGTGCCAATGCACCTTGATTTTCCTGGGCATTGATGTCGCTGGCTTAGTTCTGCTAAAATTAAAAATTCTTTCTTCATCTGTCACTTGGTAAGAATAACTGCAGATTTTCTTTTGCTGCTGTGAGTTATTACACAGCATATGAGGGTAATCTTTCTTCCTTGCTCCAGCCACCTCACAAAGTGTAGGCTGAGCAAGCTATTATGAAGCATTGGCTTTGATTTGGGAATTCTAATAATATAAAGAAAAACATCCTTCTTAGGGGGTGTAATTCCAGTCTGTAATATAATCTCCCAAAGGGATAGCCAAAGGCCTCCAGTGTGAGCTGGTATAAAACATCAGTGGGAGAATAATCCACAAACGCAGTGGGATTTGTGCTACAAACATTGCAGCACCTTCCCTCCCTCTCCACCACTATCCATTCAACCCATGTTTAATTATAGGCCTAAATAGTGCTAGCTGGGCAGCCTGGGAAGTGGGAAGACCTGATCTCAGTGGGAACAGAGAGAAAAAAGTCAATCCTAAAAGGTTCAGGCTGTGTCTGTTTAAAAGGAAGTATATTCTAAGCTATGATGCATTATTTTATGTTCATGCATGTGATGGTACTGGTGAATTTTCCTCAAACTAATATTTTTGCTTTGGCTGGCTTGAAGGATGCAACACATTGACTGAGAGTACAAATGTGATTGTTGTGGACTTTGCATTTGTGACTGCCCTTTTGTCTGGCTTCCCCCTTGCCCAGTCATTATATGGGTCAACTTGCAGAGTGCTGATGCCACTTAGGAGTTCTGTCTATGCAGAGACCCTGACCATTGCATCTGCTGTGTTCCCCTGGCACTCTTTGTATGAACCCAGCCTATTGTGCACCATGCCCAAAATCTTCCTGCTCTTCTAACACTGAGAGCAGCTGTGGTTCCTCCTTTGTGCATTCAAAGCCACAGACATTTTCTTGCAAAGTGTTCTTTATTGACCAAAGCACACAAACACCCAGAATGAATCTTTAGAATTCACCTCCAGGAGCTCTCCTTATAAGCATGCCTGGGCCCCCATCCCTTTGAGAGGGGCCTTCCGAAAATGAGCACACTTCCTCTCTGCATGCCACTCCTCTTATTGGCCACTTTCCTCTGCTAATGACCTTCTCTGTGTCTGAGAAACTCCTCTGCTCCAAGTCCCTTTCCACCAGCAGTACATCTTGGTTATTCCCAGAGACAGCCCACCTGGGAAGTCTGGCCTTGAGATTAACACCTCTGCTTCTCTCAGGAGAGTCTTGGGAGGGCTCACATTCTCAGACCCCCTCTTGCCCCTCTCCCCCTTTTTCTTCTCCTCCTCCTGATTCTTCTGGAGACCAGGCAGCAGCTTCAGAAAAACTGTGCCCAAAGCAACCATCTTTCTCACTCCCAACAAACACGTAACCTTAGGCCATGTTAGAATCTCATAACCAGCATGACATAGTTCTTTTCTAGTCTGAGCTGAATTGCTTGCATGCTGCAAAGTTCTCTCTGGCAATAAGTTGTGATTGAGGTAAATAAGGATGGAACCACATACTGGCAAATCTCCATTCCCACACCTGCATTTGCCAGGTTAACACATGTGTAGGGGAGAATTGACAGGGGAGCGGAGGTGCCTAAGCATTCCAGTTCCCATGGCACAGCTGCTGCAAATGCCACCTAGCAAAAGCCCAGTCTAATAACAGCCAGAGGAAAGTCTTTGAAGGAAAGAAAAGCCGAGCACCCACCAATTTTGTCTACAAGTGCTTCATCAGTCCTCCACATTTGATTGAGAACCCCATTTTTAACTAGCAACATTAGTTATACCCTTTGTTCTAGCTATTGTCCAATGTCTCATAGCTTGTGAAAATTCCAGTCTTTCCTACTTATAATAACCCTGGATATGACTGAAAGATAGCCAGCAATCCCTCAGTTGAATACATACCATCATTTAGCCAAGTGGTAACTCACTTGAAAAATATCATTCTGCTGAGTGATATAGAACATTTTACCATCTTTCTCTATCTGATCAGAAATTTGTGGAAGGAGAGGAATACTGGAACTACCTTCATCACTTGGCAGGATGATGGAGAGGACAGACTTACCAAGTGGCCTCAGCTCATGGTCATAAGACTGTGCTCACTCGGAAGCATTAAAAGGAAAGTTACTTCCTCTCCATTGCTCCAAAGTGTGATATGACATCCACTGCTCCTCGAGTTCCAACTAATTTGATTTTAAGCTTTTCTTTAGAACACCTGATCTTTAAACAATGCATCCTGTTAAATTCTGCTCCAGAAACAAACCTACCCCAAGTTCAGTGATCTTCTAGATGAAACATCTACACTCTTAATAGATGCATCTTCCTCACTGATCTATTGGGCATCCAAAGGGATTATTTTATCATGGAACCACTGGACAGTACCAGGAGCGTCTTACTGATTTTACTGAAAGTATCTCTTACTAAGACCAGAAAGAGATTAAGCAGATCAGTCCCCCTTCCTCCCCTACAGCTATTTCAGTTTGTGCTCATTCAGGCTAGTGAAATATTTCATGCTGTTTCACAGCAAGTCATTTAGAGCATGATCAAAAGGGTCTTAAAATGCAGTGAATGAGTGACTCTTCTGGGG